CAATACATCCCTCTCGTCACGTCAAAGATATTCAAGTGTCTTTTCCATGCTATAAAAATAAATAAATAAATAAATAATTTCAAGTGGTTAGTTAAGGAAAATATACAATAATAATGTCATAAGCTAAAGAAATTGACGAAAGCCCCTTGTAAATGATCTAAGCCATTGGGATGAAAAGAGCCCATTCACTACCAATAATTCAAGCCATTTGGGTGAAAGGAGCCCATTCACTGTCAAGGATTCAAGCCATTAGAGTCAAAGGAGCCTATTCACTACCAAGGATTCAAACCATTGGAGCAAAAGTAGCCCATTCACTGCCAAAAGGATTTGAGTCATTGGGGTGAAAGGAGCCCATTTACTGCTAAGGATTCAAGTCATTAGGGTGAAAGGAACGCATTCACTGCCAAGGATTTAAGGCAATCATTACCATTGGGATGAAAGGGGCAATGATACCTAAAATAGCTCTAAAGTCTTGTGCATTGCCTGCAAAAGAGGTAAAAAGACATGAAATAATTATTACCAAAAAAAAAAAAAAGTCATCATGATTTGTAGAGTTAAAATTTACTTGCACAAATCACGAGGGGGCAAGACTTTATTCGATTTTCAAAAAAAAATGATTCGATTTTCAAAAAAGAAAAAAAGAAAAAAAAAAAAAAAAAAAAAAGAGAGAGAGCTCGGAGCAATAACGAGATGAAGAGGACTTTTACTTGACTGCTTCTTATTGTTGGCTTAAACCGTTCTCTCAATAATAGAAACGAAACTATTTATATTTTTTTTTATGAAGCCTTGTTCTTGTTATATTATGCCGTAGGAACTAATAATCAAAAGATAATATATGAAAAATCAAATCACTTAATTCAATTTAAATTTTTTTGATCAACAAAAAAATACTTTATTGATGAGAAAACATACATTACATATGAAAAAACATCAATAAAGAAAGGAGATGCAAAAAGCATCAAAGTACGCCCCCCCAATTCTAATTAGGGTGGCACCAAGGAGGATACCCAATCATTTGCTAGCACCACCAAAATTGGCGAGAAACCAACAAGAAAAGAGAGAAAAAACCACACAGCAGAAACAAGAAAGAAAATTCCGAAACAATTCAACCCAGTAGCACCAAGCAGCTGCAGTTTTTTTTTTTTTTTTTTACATGGTTATCTTGACTTTAAAAAGGATCTTTGTTTGACTATTTGGGTTTTTTGTTTAACAAAATGGACTGTCTTTATTCATATTTAGGCCATATCTGCTAATGACAGCAAGTTATACACATGGGTTCATATGGGTTATAAAAAGGTTCATAGAAAAGAAAATTTCTGCTGGAAGGTAAAAAAATAAAAAAATAAATTAAAAAATGGGGGTTCATGCAGGTTATATACGTGTAAAAAATAAAAATAAAAAAGATTTAAAAAAAGGCTCATGTAGAAAAAAAAATTCTTCTAGAGGACTAAGTAAAAATAAATAAAAAATAAAAGAGGAGGTTTCAGATTCTAAAAAAGGGGGTTGTTGCTGTTAAAAAAAAGAGAAGGATTCTGCTGAAAATATGAAGGGATTAGAAGGGAATCTTTTGTGTCCTCCAAGAACAAATTCTGCTGGAAAGATGCTAGACGGATGAAGACCTAATATGTACTACAAAATCTGCAGGAGAAAAAAGGGACTACAGGAAAAATATATGAATAGGTGTTGTATAAAGCAAAAAGTCTTGCTTAAAAGAAGAGGTAATGATCTCCTGAAACACTCCAAAAAGCAACAGCTTATGTAGGATTGGAAACACTCCAACGAGTAAGAATTGATGTAGGATTTGAAATCCTATCAATATCTATGATGACCTAAAAAAAAAGGGTAGTGGTGGCAAGTTGATAAAAGCCCACATAGAATGAAGAAAGAGGCTCACAAAAGAAAAGACTCAATTAAATTCCTAGATCTTATGCATAACCTTAAATAAATAAATAAATAAATAAAATGGGGAAGGGAGTGGGGGATCAAGTCCACAAAAAGGGTTCATGGACTATAAAGAGCAATTTGCCCATAAAATAAAAATAAAAACAAAAAATTAAGTCCATGAAAAGAGGGCTCATGCAACAAAAAATAAGGCCCATGGACTATACAGAGCAATTGACCCATAAAAAAATTAGGTCCATGAAAAGAGGGCCCATGCAACATAGATAAAATGCCAATGGACTATAAAGAGCAATTGACCCATAAAAAAAATATATAAAAAAAAAATACAAAGTCAAAGGGATCGAAAGTGATGAAGGCCAAGAAGCAATCTAATCTATGATCTAAAGAAGGCCTAAATAAAAATGTCAAGTTGTCGTGATTTGCACAGTTAAAAAAAATTCACCTGTACAAATCACGAGGGGGCATTTGTTGACACATAAATTTCAACCAAATTTACGTTAAAATTTCAAATACGGTCAATCAATCAATGACACGTATAGAGCCTATGATAAGAATCTTATAGGTAATCACTTCTTAAAAAGATCATTATGATCCGTTGAAATGCATAAATAAAACAACATCATTTCTCAAGACATTATTTAAAATACTCAAATGACACGTGATGACACCTATAGAGCTTACAACAAGGACACCACATAGGATAAAACCCCAAAAATCAATTTGGTTAATTAGATATACATAGCGCTCTCATTTAATTTGAAATTCAAATTGAGGATGAGGCACTCTTATCACCTAGATAGTCCTGTATAAATATGAGGACCATCATACAAGAGAGGAGATCAAAAAATCATAAGTGAGAAGATCAGAGAGAGAGAGAAAGAAATCAACAGCTAAAGAAGTCATTACAAGAAAGTAGAAAAGAAACCCAGAGAACTCAAGAGCCTACGCTACAAATATAGAATGGCGATGAATAGGTAAAGGATTCTAAACTCAAGGATTGTACTTTGTATTCAAGGGTTCAAAACCCATAAAAATTTCAATAAAATATTTATTTTTCTTAAATTATCTTCTATTATTTATTTTGTTCTTCATTAATTCGGAGTTTCATTTAAATAAAATGTGTAATTAACGATCTGGAATACAGATCGGAAATAGGAACCTGCTATTTAAATGATCAACACTGTTTCGTCTAAAAAAAACTTGACCGTAAACATTTGTAACATGAGTTTTAAAATATATTAAAATATGTGTTTCAAAATTTGTATTAAAATGTATTAAAACTTGAGTTTTAAAATGTATTAAAATATGTGTTTCATGTTTCAAAATTTGTGTCTACAGTGAGTTTTGAATTTTTCCCTAATTTGAGGATTGTGGAGTTTTCCTCCTCCCTGTTTGTGTTATTTGGGCCCTTATTTTCGTTGCATCTGAGTGCAGTAAGGTGTTTATGTTTTTTTGGAGTCTTTACAAGCAAGGTGCTGCTGCTATTCTCTCTAGTTGTGATTCCTAATTGGAGATTGGTTAGTGTTGGTTTTTGGTGGCCTTGTTTGGCAAAGGCTATTTTTTCTTTTTCTTTTTTATGCTTTTTTGATTAAAATTTACAAAAAGATAAAATATGTTAAAATAACTAATAAGACAAAATATCACATCAAATCCATAATCATTACACTTTTTCTCTCACAAACATCACATTCAATTACAAAAAAATCCAATCATCTTCCCAAACACAAAAAATTTAGCCTACTAAAATAGTCAAAAATTAAAATAACTTACTAAAATAACCAACTTCCCAAACACCCACTATATGTGACTTACTTCAATAATATGAACTCTTTATCTTCTACAGTCTCCCAATAGATCATTTATACAAGGAAAATGCTATAGGGCCTAAATTTTTTATCAAATAAGTGACCAAACATCTCACATGGATATGAGGTCCATACACCCATGTGAAATATTTGATCATTTATTTAATAAAAAATTTAATATCCCTAGCATTACGCTTTATATATAAAGTACTAATTGAACAACTGTAATCATATGATTATATCATGTTTTACTTTTACATTATAATTATCATTCATTTCTATTGCCAAGCAGTTTAGTGGTGTTTTGGATTGTGCCCTACATAATGCCATCAGGGCCGGCTCTAGGGTGAGGCAATTGAGGTGGTCGCTTCGGGCCCCTAATTTTGAATAAAATTTAGGGCCTCCAATTAGGGGAGTGTATCATATCATGTTATTTCATAATTAATTTAATATTAGCTCAATTTATTTATTTTTATAATGTCGTGTGGTGTTATTTTGATTCGTGTTCGAATATTGTTTAATGTGAAAATTTTCACTTTTAGTTAAAAATGACTTAACAAGTGTATTGAGAGATTAAAATTTTTCTCATAAGTTGAATTTTATAAAATTTATTTCAATTAAATGAAATTATTCATAGAATGTTTGATTTTAATTCAATTGCATTTTTCTAATTAAAAAAATTGTACCTTATTACTATATATTTTTTATTAGATTGACTCTAAAATAGGTAATAAAAAAATATATATCTTAAATGAAAAAAAAGATATTAGTCTTAATTATTATTTTTCATACTTTTTTATTTAGTTAGATAGAGTTAAATAAAGGATTAAAAAAAATGTCATGGCATCCCACTACTGGAAATGAGATTTTTAGAGGCATTTAAAAAACGCCGCTATAGCTATCAAAAATGCCGCCAATTCTTTTTGCGACGCTTCATACCAAACGTCGAAGATGCAGGCGTCGCTGTATCTTTATGGCGCTTGGAAAACGTCATTATATTAGTATAGGTGGCGTTTTCAAAAATGCCGCCAAATGTGCTAAATGATGTCACACCGTACTTAGCGACGTTTTAAAAACGTTGTGATATCTTTTTTCAATTTTAAAAATATAGCCGTTAACACTATACTATAGTGGCGTTTGAAAAACGCCGTCATAGCTTCATTTTTTTTTTTTAAATTGTGCTGATTCTGTGATTTTAAAAATAAACCGTTCTTTTTTATATATAAAATGAACTCTAATTATTGATATACCCATACTTAATGATGCATAAGTCCTCAAAAACACTTTGGCAAGTACAGTAACAAAAGGAAAATAGGCCTTCAAACTGCAAACACAAATACCAAAAAAAAAAAAAAAACAAATGTATTTATTTCAAGAGAACATACATAAAATATGGTGCAAGTAAATTCTGGTTGTGACACACAGCTTAGTTTTATTTGATTTAATCCTCTTCCCTATACAACTTACCAATACATCTCATAGCCATTCAAGAAGAACAAACAAAATTTCATGCCAATGTATTACACAGTAACCGTTATTGTTTTCATGGAGAACCACCAGCTTTCGGTCCAGTAGGACGCATCTGCCTGTTTCTTGCCATCCTTCCACAGTTGTTACATGGTCCTTTATCATTATTAGGGGGAGGGGGGAAATCATGAAAATCATCCAAGTTAAAACCAAATCCATAGATTTACCTGTATGGTAGGCATTTTCTGCACAAGTTTTGGAGTCCTCCACATGCATGAAAAGGAATAACAAAGTGTCAATCACCATTCCTGCAAATTTATCAATCCAGTATGGTCAAAGAAGGAAAGGTCCAGCATGTTTAGAACTAATTTCATATGAGCATAATTAATTAGAAAGGAAATGTTATTTTTCCAGCATATAAACTAACTAGAAATGTTCCCTCTCCTCTAACAACAGGAAACTATGAGCTTTGTAAAGACAGATTCCCTCACAGATAAAACTAATCATAACAACACAGCAGCAGCATTAACTACACTCCTAGAATTTACATTGAAGTGTCTACAAACATGCCAAAGGCCAAACAAAAACAAAAAAAGAAAGACATGCCAAACACACCAGATCCTAGTGCAAGTGTTCTGCAACCATTCATACGGAACCATAGAATGTTGCTTTGCCATTGCAAACCATTCTAATGATTATTTTGATATAAATTCTTGAATATCACCCAAATTTCTATCAAAATGAAAATGTTGTGTCTATCACTACCCAGTCCACCAAGCAAGTTTTGCACGCAACCCATTAACCAGCATGAATTGGCTATGCAGATAAATAAATGTTTTAGGGTGCTCCTATAAGAAAATGCCATGCAACTTTTAAGATGAGGCCCTAAGATCTTTCAGAAAACTAGTAATACTGTAAGCAAACAGTAGGCAACAATGAAGGGTACAATAAAAACCATATATCAAGGCAAGTTAAGTACTCTGATCCATGTATCCAAAGGTAAAGAATTAGTCAGATTGTGTCACAAGCTCCTCCGATTCTTTTATAGCACCTGTTACATAAAATACAAACCAATTAAAGCAACTTTTGTAAAGATAATAGATCATATTTATACTAGGATGATGTGAAGTTTCCAAGTCAATAAAACCTAGAACATAAGAATGAAAGCTCATTTAGACTATAACCTCCACATTATAATATAAGACTCTTGCAAAAATATGACAAGGTTATGAGAAGACACAAGTGCCCCATTAGAAAATAAAAGGAATGGGAAAAAAAAAATCTTTTTAACTTCAAAATTAAGCCAGAATTCACACTAACAACAGCATTACATTGCATAGGAATAGACCCTAATTGTTAATGATGATAGTTTCATTTATAATGATATCTCTTGCAAGGTGTACCACCCACATAAGCCACCAACTGAACAACCTAACTATCCCAATATTGAAGAAAAGGTTACTGAATGTGGTTGATGAAGTTAAGCAAAGCAAAAGGGCCATTATTCTGTTCATTGATGAGTTGCACACTCTAGGAGGAATCTATGTGCTAATTCCAGAAATAATAAAAAATTCAAAATCAAAAGAGAAATCGATATGCTAATTATGCAACTTATTGACAGTCAACCTATTGACAATAAACCTATTCAAATAACATTTAATAAAACCTATTCAAATAAACAGTCAACACAACTTATTGACAGCAAACCTATTCAAATAACCCAAGATAAGATCTGACCACGTAGTGAATAAATAGCTTCTCAACCATGCAGAGTTTTCCATCCGAAAGTTGTTTGATAGAACATACCACAATAAATTACCATTAAACTAAACATGAACTTGAATTGATTTCTTCACTTAAAATGGGCTAAAAAAATATTTGAAACTCACTGGAGTGAGCTTGTTAAAAAGTGGTGCAATTAAAACGTCGTACACAGCCATCATCACAAGAGATAGTACAAGCTATCAAATAGCTAAAATAAAATTATCAATGATTTACCTCAACGTCTTTAGGTTCAGCTGGTTTGGATGTTTTTAACTGTCCAACAGCATCTCCTTTCTTATTGACACCCGATTTTATAGCCCCTCCTTTCTTACTAGCAGGCTGAGAAAACATATAAACCCAACAATAGAACACAAAGATGCAAAAAAATGTTATCTAACACAATATGCATAAAATAGGACATGCTAAGAAAAAAATTATAAGAAAATACTCACAACAGCCTGAACAAGTTTCTTCCCACTAAGCATGCTTACTGCCGATTTTTTAACAAATGATCCTTCAGAAGCCTGCAAAAAGATTAACGTGTACATCATATTGAAGCTAGATAAACATGTCGAAATGACTCGTTGGAGGCCTAAATTCATAAGATTTAAATTTCACATGCATTTATTTAAATATTAAATTGATTACTATGCCATGCTTCATTTTACCATCATGAAAATAGAATTGATGATACTACATGATGAAGATTTATAATCCATGATATGAATCAAAAACCACGGCATAGATCAAGGAAATGACACGAAGCACAAACTTTAAGGGTCTAGCAACTGAATATTGAGCCTAAGGCTTGCAACACCATGAGACATAAAATTTGCATTAAGCTTTGATTTTGTCTTCTCTCATATGTAACACTAATAGCACATTATATTTCTTTTCCCAAAAAAGAGACAAATTTTATTATGAAAACCGAAGGAATCTACCTTGACCATGGATAATAGTTCAGTTCAAGGCAACTCTGGCATCATGGTTAATAAATCAGGATATGAGAATGGTGAGAGAGTCTAGTAGATTGAATCATATCGGATCAAGAATCATAAGATCATACTTTTATAACAATGAAAAAAGGTAAATACCAACAAGGATGATGCATAATAAAGATGAGGTGAAAAATCACCAACGCAAAGATCCTAACTGCAATCCTACAAGATCCTACTTACAATCCAGCTATAATATACCAATTTTAAAAGGCAAGAATAAACTCACCGCTGCAAAAGAAATGCTTCCACTAGAAGTTTGAACTGTAACTGGCATATCATGATTATTATCAGCATAGAGAAAACCTCAAAGAATGTATCATTTTTTCAGGAGAAAAATTGTAACAAATTTAAAACAATAAAATAATTCAAACCTGAGATTGAACCAACTGAACCAGCTCCAGAACCCCCAATCATTTCTGAAAGCTTCTTTTTTCTAACGTCATCCAGTTTCTCCAACGATTTTTCTAAAGGCCTCATGCCAACCAACTAGAATAGAAAGAAAAATGAAGAAACAATAATTAGTGCAACAGAAGTAACTAGCAAATCTTGGTCTATTTCTTTCACAAGTTTGGGGGAAAAAACAAGAATCAAGTTTTACTAGGAAGACATGATATAGTTGAGTTGCAATATGATTGAAAGGAATACCTTAGCCACTACTGCCAAAGGCTGCATCCCTCACTTCTGGAGTCCCATCATTGAGGCACTAAAAGAATTTGATTTAACATAAAATTTAAACAATATCAGCATTATATATGTACACACACACACACACACACAATAATAATAATAATAATAATAATAATAATAATAATAATAATAATAATAATAATAATAATAAGTATACGAATTCCAGATGATATATGTACACACACACACACACACACCTGGGACTCCTCTAAACTGCCTGAGCCCGGCACAAAACGAAACAGCCTGCACATCTGCGCTAAGGCAGACCTCTGTACTGCCTGAGCCGGTTGCTGAGGAGACCTCAAGCGAGCAGCCTAATCTGGTATAGGTTTGAGACAAGATCATGGACTGAATAATCAACCTTGAAGGACCACTTCACCCATAGTGCAATCTGAAGGAGTTTTATAGAATAAGTTTGTTTGGGAGAGGGAAATCAAATAATAAGCCAAGTGCCTCTGCCCTATGGCCCTAGTTAATGTAACACCAGAACTATATAGGTTTGTGATGTATGACAACTAAATCAGCAAAAATAGCTAAATTTAGCCAATGATCAAATATGACATCACTTGCCATCACTTGCTAAGATGACAAACTCTGTATCTTCATCTACAATCTCCAAAGACACATCTGGTTCTGAACTGAGGTGTTTCTTCAAGCTTTTGTCACCAAATGCTCTTGCTACGGCCAACTGTCCAACTCGTAGAACATCACCTGAATTTAACACAATGATGTAATCGTAAGATGATCTAATCTTGACGTCAAGGTTAGCTAGGGGAAGAAACACGTTAAAATTAACATTATCATTATGCAAAAAGCTTATTACCAAAGCAAAGGAACATGTAGAAGTGGTTACTTTACTCAAAGTACCATTTACAATAATCCTTTGATAAGTACCAAGAATAATTTACATTTTGATCATTCAAAGCCAACATAGTCTGCCTTTTCCCCCTTGGACATCATATAAACGAAAAGTCCTTTAAAAAAAAAAGTTTCCCTTCAAAACCATGGAAAACACCAACACGCTAATCAGACAAAAAGATAAGCTTAAAAAGTAAATACAAAAGAATAAAAAAAACAAATCAACTAGAATAAGTTGACACTTATTATTATTATTATTATTTTTTTATGACAGTCCATCACTTTTCAATTTTCTTTCAGAAGTCTAGTTACCTGGAAAATTTGATACAAAACCACCTCTGTCCTTGACATATGTCCTTTCCTTGCTAGGCTCATGATCGACTGACAATTGTTTGGCCACACCATTCTTGCAGGCGACAGCCCTTGAATCTCCAACATTAGCTACCACCAGCTTCTGACAATCAATTAAGATTGATGTAACTGCAGTTGAACCCCCTTTACCCAACTCTAATGATTTGTCCAAAATAGAAGTATCAGTTATGATCCAATAGAACAGAAGGACTCCACTGAAGTAAAGCTAATACCAAATTAAATTCATAGATTTTTTTTTTTAATTTTTATACTTCATTTTCAACATTCAACATAGGGAAAATGAAAAGAAAATCATACAAAATTGAAAAAATTGTAAAAGTAACCAGTGGATTGATGTCAATGGTACCTTGCGATTAGATTGCTGAAGGAGAGAGAGAGAGAGAGAGAGAGAGAGAGAGAGAGCATCGTCGAAGCCATCTGAATTAGACATGACGATGAAACGATTAGATCAATTTGAAACACTTAAAATTAGTAAAAAAAATCAAGTAGTCATATTTGAGAGAAGTCGAACTTTGTTGAGTCTAAATTCAAATCAGTAATCGATGTAAAAAAACAAGAGTAAGAACACAAAAACAAACCTCAGAAAAGTAATGAAGTCGTGTTCAGATCTAGAAACAAAACAACCAAAAATAGAAAACCGACCCTGCCTTTCAAATAAAATTGATAATTCAAACAAAAACGAGAACAAATCACTGTTTTCTTCGTAGATCTATAGATACACATACTTATGAGGCAGAGAGAATGAGACATGCACCACATCTACCAAAAAAAATTGAAAGAAATGATAGATCTGTTGTGAACGAAGCATCAGATCTCAAATCGGCCAAAAAAAAATATGAAGAAGATGAAGAATCAAACCTATAGACTTCATGATCTGTGTATGTGTGTGTATGTGTGTGTGTGTGTGAAATGATAGATCTACCTGATTGAAGCTTAACATATCATATGTTCGATAGATCTACCGTTAACGAGTAATGATAAATCGATTTTCATGATCCATTTTCTCACTGACATGAAATCACTGACATGAAATCGCTCTGAATCTCTGAGATGAAATCATTGAGATGAATCTCTCAATCGCTCTGATAAGGGTTTAGAGAGGATGTAGAGAGAGAGAGATAGATATTTAGAGAGAGAAAGAGAGACAGTGAAGCTCACCTTCGTTGGGGCTCGCAACCTCGATTTGAGAATGAACAAGTGGTGGAGCCTCGAAATCGCTCTCACAGAGAGAGAGAGAGAGAGAGAGAGAGAGAGAGAGAGCTCGATTTGGGTCTTACACGAATCTCAGATTCAAAATTAGGGTTGGATAAGAAGGGGAGACCCAGCGCGTGAGGCACAACGCATTTGGAGGTGCTTTTAAACGCCCCTTATTATAAAACGGTGTCGTTTTATTAAATAAATATGCGACGTTTTGTAAAGCGTCGTTAAATATAAAAAATAGTGACGTTTAAAAATCCGTCGTTAAAAAAACGCCGTCTAAACTCTTTTTTCCTGTAGTATCCCTTAGTGAACATTCAAATATATAACTAATAATTCATGTTATTGAGTTGTGTCATACTTGGATTCATGTTGAAAATAGTCAACCTTAACTTGCTAATTTTATATATTGCTTAAGTTGTGTCGAAAATTCTCATCCTTACCCTCAATTAATTTTTGTTCTTATAGCATTGGTAAGCTAAAAAATAAAGATTTGATTCAACTAATTAAAGTTCAACTATTATATATATATATATATTTGTTATCTAAATTTTGTTAAATTATAATGTAATAGAAATAAATTTTTATCTTTTTTGTTTTATCCAAATAATTTTATTTTTTTTTAAGATAATATATGAAGAGGCCAATTTAAAAAATTGGTCTTAGGCCCCTAATTAGTCAGGGCCGGCCTGAATGCCATTTAGATATTAGATGGCTGTGTAAACCTGGGAGGCTCTATTCATGCGCTGCATAAATTTTAAGTTCACATTATTTTGCAGTTCGCATGTCCAATTTTCAAGCAAAAGTGAATTTAATAGATATTACTTGGTTCAGTAGCTTATTTTATTTTTTTGGATACGTGGTTCAGTAGTTGATAGAGCAATTGATTTTTGTTCAGAAGTTGATATAGATTTTTAATTTTTGGGATTGGACGGTCTCCTGTCTGTAATCAAACTAGGCAATTCAGTCTGACCCAATGGGTCCACTTTTGGACTCTTTTTCTATAATCTAAACAGTTCACAGTTTAGGATTCATCGAGTATATTATATCTGCAAATAATCAAGTTGATCGGAAAAAGAAAACAACATGTTTAAATTAATTTTGTATGAACTGTTTATTTTCTCATCGTCTATTTTTAATACAAAATTGATCCAAACACATGGTTGTCATTATCCGATCAACCTGAATTTTTGCAAGGGTGATACATTCAATGAATTTTAAAATATGAACAGTTCATATTATCGAAACAGAATTCAAAAATGAGCCTACAAGGCTTGACAATACCTCTCCAATTTGATAGAGTATGAGAAGTCATGGCCTAATTTTTATTCAAAATTTGATATTTGAAAGGTATAAATAGTAGCATGTAGGGGTGTGGGTAGTGCGATTTAGGTGGTTTGAAAGTAAAATTACAAACCGAATGGTGGGTTAGTGGATTAACGGTTTGACAAATTACGGTTTTGGTGGTTTTTGATAGATTGGCAGATTAAAGAATATTTTAACTAATTATCATACATTTGCATAATATATAACACTAATTTGTATAATATTTTTTAGATATGTAACACAAAATAATTTTGCATAATATGTTTCATATATATAATCACTAATTTGTAATAAATTTTATATATTAAATTTTTCTCATACTTATTTTTACATTAATATTTTATTAGAAGTTAAAAAATATATATATACTAACTATAGCAGAGCGGAGCGGTTTAGTTGACAGATTATAAATTTTAAAGTTTAAATAGCGATTAACAGTTAGAGCGATACGAATTAATATGAATCAATACAATTTTAATAAATTATATGATATTTTACACAACTTTAGTGGTGTTTTGAAAAGTTGATAAAAAATTAATTTTTGAATTTTTTAACTAAAAAAACTGACTTTTTGAATAATGACTTGGATAAAAAAATTAATTTTTTTAACTAAAAAAATTAAAAACTAACTTTGTGCTTAGTTGCCAAAGCAAGCCTAAATAGCCTACAAAATAAAACCAGACAAACAAATATAAACTCCCTTAACTACTAAAGTAGGTACAGGATACTGTCAGGAAGCACACAAGTTTGTTGGGTCCGACTGTGGTATCCAAAAAATTATAGTATTTGTATACCATACATAAAACTTATTTACATAAATCTTATTTTTAGCCATTAGAAGGAATCTACACGGTCCATTGCTCAACTTGTTAACCGGTTATAACCGGTGGAAAATCATTCCCCAAAAACTCTCAGATAAATATGTGTAATGATTATGTACTTGCGAAATGAATTTACAATTGGGGAAATTACCATTTAGCCTAATGAACTAAAAATAATTACAAAAAGTTGGAGGTGCAATTTTTTTATGTGAATTACATCCCACATACTTTGGTAATTATTTTCCCCACCTTCTACTGTTTAGTGATTTCTCCTTAACAATTAACTCCGTTTTGTTCTGTGCAATGGAAAGAAAATTTTAATTTTTAAATATTTCAATTTTTTTTTTTTTTTGTTTCTTAAAAGATTGAAAAAGTTTTGTGTAATTTTTTCTTGGACCTTGCTACATCCCCCTAATTTTTGGCCCCCTAATCCCTCTAAATTTCAAACCAAGGCAAAAAAAAAAAAAAAATTGCCCAAAACGACGTTGTTTTGGGAATTAGGGGGATTAGGGGGGGCTTTTTTAGGGGAACAAATCATTTTCCTTTTTTCTTTGCGAGCTAATAGTTGGCCGGAATATACAATTTGTTGATCATTTAAATTTTCCTTTGAATTGTAAGTTTTTAATTATTTCTGAAATTAAATTAATGAATTCAATCTTAATTTTTTTTAATTATTTTATACACAATAAAAAACAATTAAATGGATTTGACATACTTTGTTGTTTATTTGCATTTTTATAAAGCCATTAAAATCAGGAATTGTTTCATTGCTAGACTTGTACATTTAGATGGTGGCTGAATATCCTTCTGATGTTTTGTCAAATTTAGCCTATATTCATTATTCACTACTTACTTACTATTTAATTAAATCCTACTAACTACTCAATGAAATTTTGCTTATTATTTCAAAATAGATTTGATTTATCACTCAATTAAATCTCATTTATACCTCAATGAGACTCTATTAATTATTTCATTTTACTTGACTTACTGTTTCATTAAATTCTACTAACTATTCCATTAGACTTCATTAAACTTTACTTGCTACCTAATTAAACCTTGCTGTTTGTTGATCCTTTAAATTTTCCTTCATTAGACTTGACTTACTAATCAATTAAACCACATTTATTACTTAATGAGTCTTCACTTACTATTTTATTAGACTTAGCATACTAATCAATTAAATCTCAATAGACTCCACTTACTACTGAATCAGCTTTCATTTAATAGTTCATTATACTTCACTTACTACTCAATTTTGGTTTCACTTACTACTTCACTAGACTTCACTTACTACTCAATGAGTTTCTACTTACTATTTTATTACACTTCAATTACTACTCAATGAGCTTCCATTTACTATTTCACTAGACTCCACTTATTGCAGAATGAGTTTCCACTTACTACTCAATCAATTTTTACTTACTATTTCATTACACTTCACTTATTACTCAACTTTAGTTTCACTTATTATTCAATGAGCTTCTACTTATTACATCACTAGAGGCCCTATCATGGAATGGTTTTGCCCCTTTAACAAACTCAATCACTTCATATTTCCAAATATTTGGATTGTATTTGATATTAAAGGATGCATGATAACTCTAGTTAATCATTTCGATTCTCTTTTACGATCTTCTACTAGATTGTTGATGCCCTTCTTTTGAGCAAATCCATCTCCTCGAGATAGTCATATTACTCTTGTTCTTATGCAACTAATCTCTTCTAATACTAAAACCTTTTACCTTTGCATACATATTGTAGAAACTTTTTTCATTTTCTACCGAATCTAATGTCATTTCAAATATATCTTTTTCAGTTAGTTGATCCATACAGTTAACATTTCTTTCGGTTGGGAGATCATTAGAATTAACAATATTCCTCTTGATTGCCAAGTTGTACTCACCAGTGTCAATATCATCATCATCATCATCATCATCATCATCATCATCATCATCATCATCATTATGTAATGAATAATACTAAATGCACCAATTGGTATACCAATTAGTGTACTAATAGATGATGTGACATAATTTTAGAAGTTTTGGATATTTGTAATTTGTATAATGAGCGGGGTTAGTAATAACGTCATAACATATGTTGGTACACTAATTGATATACCAATTGGTACATGTAGCACCACCGTTATGTAATTCATATACGATGTTGTTATGCCCAATGTTGTCTTCCATCTGTGATAAGTATAATAAAATCAATTAGATCAAACCAAATGATAAGTGATATTACAATTAGTTAATGAGACTCCACTTATTATTTTATTAGATTTCACTTATTATTCAATTAAATTGTACTTACTATTTAATAAACTTTCACTTACTACTTCATTAGACTTTACTTGCTACTCAATAATCTTCCACTTAATATTTCATTACACTTCACTTACTACTAAATTAAACCTTATTTTCTATTATAATCAGGCTCTACTTACTACACTCATTGATACTTTACTTACTAAGTGGTGAACTGGTAAGTGGTAAGTTGAGTCGCAAAATGTTGTAAGAATAACTTAGTAAATGATCAACTCAATGATTGGTCAAATAATAAATAGTAATATGAATTTCAAATTACTAACACAAGAAACATAAATTTTAAACAAAATGTGAAAATGTAAAAATTTATTAGACTTAACTTAATACTCAGTAAGACACAATTTAATTTGACTTTATTTACTACTCAATTAAATCTCACTACAACTTAATGATTGGGCAACTTACTACTCAATTAAATCTCACTTACTTTTAATGAGATTCTACTTACTATTTCATTAGATTTTGCTTACTACTAAAGTACATCATTTACTATTTAATAAGACTCTACTTACTACTCGCTGATACTCTACTTGCTACTCCATCAAACTTAACTTACTAATTTATTAGATTTCACTTACTACTTAATTAAACTCGATTTACTATTTAATGAAACTCCACTTACTATTCAACGCTTTTTTATTTTTTATTTTTAATCAGGTGAAATGTTGTTCCAACAAAACCTTACAATTAATAAATTAAAAATATCACATAAGTTAAAATAAAACATAGATAGAGACATAGATAGATTCTTGCATGGAGACTTTCTCGAATTTGTAAAATGGATGGTAAGTGGTAAATTTGTAGACTTCCATTTATGTTTCAAAATATTGTAGATAAATTTGTAAAAACATATTCATAGCCAATCACATGAATTTGTGGAGAAAAAAAAAATCATTTCACTGTGGATTTTAAACTCATCAAAACTACACTTACTACTCAGTAAGACTGTACTTACTACTTTATCAGGCTTGACTTACCACTCATTTGAATCACACTTACTACTTAATGAGATTCTACTTACTAGGTGGTAAAATGAATGGTATGTGGTCAGTTGAGTCACAAAGAGTTGTAAATAGAACAAGAAGGAATGGAATCCTCAAATGAATTTGAAATTTTTCTATATTTTGTCAATCATATTTCTCATTAATTGCATTTATTGTGGTAAATGAAAAAGATATCAGGTTTCATTTATTGTCATTCATTGCCATTAAGTAGATAAATAAAAAAAATCATATTCCATAAAATGTAAAAAATTATAAAAAAATTTACAAATTTCATATTTATTTTGTACATTTTTTTTTTTTTGTTTACATTCTATTTTATAAATTTTATATTTATTTTAGAGGTTAGGTGCATTTATTAATGTTTGAATGGTAAGTGTAGTTATGTGGAATAGTAAGTACAACCATATCAAATAATAAGTGTATTTAGTTGTTGTAGTAAGTTAGAAACCACTCATTTAAACCGTACTTATTATTTTACCACACTTACTTACCACTCATTTAAACCACACTTACTACTCAATGATACTCTACTTATTACTTTATCAGACTTGACTTATCACTCATTTAAATAACACTTACTATTCAATGAGACTTTACTTACTGCTTTATCAAACTTGACTTATCACTTAAACAACACTTATTACTTTATCAAACTTGACTCATCACTTAAACAATACTTACTAATCAATGGAACTGTATTTACTATATTTAGTAGACTTGATTAATCAATCATTTAAACTAAACTTAAGACTGCACTTACTATTTCATCAAACTTGATTTTTTTTTTTTCTTACCACTTAAATCTCATAATTTTTCATTTAACTAGGTGAAATAGTTGTTCCAACAAAACATTAAAATTTATAAATTCAAAATATCATGGAAAGTTAAAGTAAAAAAAAGAGATAGAGACTATAGAGACATAGATTTTTACCTAAAGAGTTCCAAATCAACAACAATCTTATCTTCAAATCTTCAAATATTCAAAATTTTTAAAAATAAACATAAAATTTTGTTCATGGAATCCTCAAATAAATTTTAAATTTTCCTATATGTTATTAATTATATTTCTTCATTAATTGCATTTATTATTTTCAAGTGTGGTAAATGAAAAGGAAACTAGGTTTCATTTATTGCCATTAAGTACATAAATAAAATAAAAAAAATCATATTTCATAAAATGTAATAAATTATAATAAAATATATAAAATTCACATATATTTTGTATATGTTTTTCTTAAATTCTATTTTATAAATTTTATATTTATTTTAGAGGTTTTGAAAATTTATTATAACTTAATTTTTTAAGTTTACCTGTTACCTAAATAGCAAGTTAAGTATATTTTATTAATAATTGAATGGTAAGTATAGTTATTAAAAATAGTAAATATAATCATATCAAATAGTAAGTGTACTTATTGTGGTAAGTTGAAAATCACTTTTTGGTTTTAAAACCATTAAAAACTATCTTATTTTTTATGAAACTACCTAGATTTCTTAATCTGGCTTTAATTATTACCAATTAATGGTTAGATTTATTTTACTTTTAGATCCAATGGTCCAAATTTATTTATGTATGGCACATGAAAATCACCTTCATGTATCATAGAAAAATCTAAGTTTGTTTTTTAGGAGCAGCGAACTTCTGATATGTACTTATTCTCTTTGCTTAATATGTATCTGCAGGTTGTTCGATTGTCCCAAAAAAAATAAATATTAATTTTTTTTTAATGAATTTATAAATATTTTGTGAAGATCCTATTGATTTGTAATTCTTCTGATTGAAAAAAAAAAAACCTTCAATCACTAGCTCTTTGTTAACAAAGAAAAAAATTATATAGAAGTTGAGCGTGTTCAAAAATACATGTCCTATGTGATTTTTTTTATTATTTTCTCAAAAATAGTGACATTATTAGGTTGGTATATGACCAGTGATGTTTCCGGATTAACCTCACAATCATTTATATGTTAAATTATTTGATAGGTCTAATTTATGAAATTATTTTGCTAGTCTAACCTACTGAACACACGATATATTGTTCTAATAGTAGAACACAAAAATTATATAGGACTGGAATGTTTGCAGTCCATTATATGGGACTAAACTGTCCAGTTCGGCCCATTGAGCGTACTTTTGAATCTTATTTTGTTAATTTAAATTATTTATATTTTAAAATTCGTTGAATATTTTATTTTTATAAAAAAAAAAACAATTTTGATCGGATAATGAAAACTACGTATTTGGATCAATTTTGTATAAATCGTTTATTTTCTTACCATTCAATTTTTTTCATATAAAACTATTCCAAATACGTGATTTTCGCCATCCACTTGATTTTTTACAAAAATGATATATTTGACAAACTTAAATGTGAATAATTTAAATCATTGAAATGATGTCTAAAATTAAGCCCAATGGACCCAATAGTACTTCTCTTACCCAATTTAGGGCTGGAGAGAAACCAAGCACTAAATAGATTATTCTTACATTTTTTCACAAAACAAGATAATTATGTATTGTTATTGAACATGCATATAGTCTCATGAATAAGAGTGAGAAGAACAATTCTCTATTATATTTATTATTTTATTTATCAACACAATATTGATATAATAAGTCTCGCTATTAATGTATACCTCTTATGTAATAACAAGAGAATATAGTAATAATAGATGGGCATTGTAGCGTTGTTTATAATGGTGCTAGTATTTGTGACAGGGGCCATATTTGGTAGAGCTGTGAGAAAGTACTTATAGCTTATGCCTTAACAGCTTATAACTTATAACTATGAACATAAGCTAATTTCTGACTTATAAATTAAGCATTTCCTGCCCCACTCAAAGAATAAGCTGATTTTTGACTTACAAAAAACTATAAGCTGCATTGTTAAGCTAAACCAAACACATCAAAATAACTTAAATTAAACTGAAAACTGAAATAAACAGCTTTTAAGCTGCACCAAACAGGCACAGTATCATTAATGAGTTTTCATATTATTGTAGTAAAGATTACATGGTTGGTTTTTGTTAAAATTGTCTGCTTAATTTTTTTTATACATTTTTTTTACAACTAATGCTAACAAGTGCCTCTGTACACTACTTAAGGGGTAAAGAAGTTTAAAAGTTATTAAAGAAGTTTAAAAATTATTTAAAAAGTTTAAAAAGTCAATAAATATCAAAAAGTTAAAATTTTATTTTTCATTTATTTTTTTGCACATCTTCTGGTAAAAAATTAAAAAATTATTTCAAATATATTAACTTTTTTCATCTTCTATTTTAACTAAAAAAATTAAAAAGTCACTATAAAAATGAGTATCTAAATGACCCCTAACTTAATTTTATTTGAACATACTCATTAAATTGAATGTATTGATTATTGAATATTTTAATGATTTTTTAATTGTAGACAATGACTTATAATTAGGGTGTGTTTGGTAACGTTTACGTTTTCAGTTTATATTTACAAAAAATTTATAAATTGGTTTTTGTTTATTTTTAGAAAAACATAAACTACAAACGCATTTGGTAATTGACAAAATGTTTAAAAAAAAATTAAAATATAAAAAAGAGTAAGAAATGGCGAGTGGTGGCAAGTGACGGCGGAAGACGGTGGTGGAAAGTGGTGATGGTGGGTGGTGGGTAGCTGGTGGTGGTGGAGGGGTGGGTGACGATGGCGGGTGGTAGCGAATGGGTGGTGGTGGTGGCAAGTCGGTGGCAGATGGCAGGTGGGTGGCAGATGGCGGGTGGTGGCGGTGGGTGGGTGGATGGGGGACGGTGGCGGGTGGTAGGGAGTGGGTGGTGGTGGCAGGTGGGTGGCAGATGATGGGTGGTGGTGATGGGTGGTGACGGGTGGGTGGTGGT